AACATTCACATGATGATAATGTAAATTGTTGAAAAATTGTGTACAATAAAACTCAGGAGTAGTATACCATATAGACTGATGATGACAATGTAAATTGTTGAAACGATGTGTACAATAAAACTCAGGAGTATTATACCATATAGACTGATGATGACAATGTAAATTGTAGAAAAATTGTGTACAATAAAACTCAGGAGTAGTATACTATATAAACCGATGATGACAATGTAAATTGTAGAAAAATTGTGTACAATAAAACCAGGAGTAGTATACTATATAAACTGATGATGACAATGTAAATTGTAGCAAAATTGTGTACAATAAAACTCAGGAGTAGTATACTATATAAACCGATGACGACAATGTAAATTATAGAAAAATTGTGTACAATAAAACTCAGGAGTAGTATACCATATAAACTGATGGTGACAATGTAAATTATAGAAAAATTGTGTACAATAAAACTCAGGAGTAGTATACCATATAAACTGATGATGACAATGTAAATTATAGAAAAGTTGTGTACAATAAAACCCAGGAGTAGTATACCATATAAACTGATGATGACAATGTAAATTATAGAAAAGTTGTGTACAATAAAACTCAGGAGAAGTATACTATATAAACCGATGACGACTATGTAAATTGTTGAAACGCTGTGTACAATAAAACTCAGGAGAAGTATACTATATAAACTGATGATGACAATCTAGCAAATATTCCATCACAATCAAGTTCAAATGACGTTATTTTTTAACCAATCATGCGGTCATGTAGGACCTGTTTCGCAATAACAGTGACAAATTGTGTGATATAGTCTTTAGTTGTCTGATCCCCTATTCCCATCATAAGCCAGTGTTTGATAGGAAAATAGACGTTTAAGATGGGTTCCCTTATTTTCATGTATGAAAATGAAAATGCTAATACTTATATGAATAGAAAGTAGAGGTGTTCTAATGACTTTGAAAAATACCAGTTTGTCTCACATGTCCATAATTAATTCATAAGTAGCTAAATTAGATGAAAATTACCAGTAGAATTCAAATGTCTTTTTTTTGTTTATCCAGACTTTACATACATAGACATTTATGATTGGTTAAAACTCTTAATTATATGCAATAAGAACATGATGATATGATTAAGAATACACGATAATTCATTAGAAACACCAATTAATCAAATAGTTTGCTTTATTTGACACTATATATATGGAAACCCATCTTTAAACATAATTTCATTCCATCAACCAGACGATTGCATTCATAATAGATACACTTGGTATTTCAGGTACGATGTGGATGAATTACGCCTTGTTATCAGCCTACGGTCTAGGAACAATAGCCTTACTGTTTCTTGTCGAGATCCACTCCCGACTGGATGTAGACGAACAGAAGATAAAATAATTTCTCAAAGTCTTGTATTTGTTAAGGGGTGCGATCCTCTTAATACACGTGTTTGCTAATAATAATAATAATAATAAAAATAATAATAAACTCTTTTACATTCTATTTTGTACACTTAACTTAGACATGGTCCAGTCTAACATTCAGTCCACAGGGACAAACATAGACTCTATATTTACATGGGTCAGAATTAGGCCAATTCACATGGGCATGGTCCTGTCTAACATTCAGTCCATGGGGACAAACATAGACTCTATATTTACATGGGTCAGAATTAGGCCAATTCACATGGGCATGGTCCTGTCTAACATTCAGTCCATGGGGACAAACATAGATTCTATATTTACATGGGTCAGAATTAGGCCAATTCACATGGGCATGGTCCTGTCTAACATTTAGTCCATGGGGACATAAACTCTTTATTTTACATGGGTCAGAATTAGACAGAATACACCAAGGTTATATGGTACTGTCTAACATTCAGTCCATGAAAACAAACATAGACTCTTTATTTTACATGGGTCAGAATAAGGTCCAATACACCAAGGTGACATGGTCCTGTCTAACATTCAGTCCATGGGAACAAACATAGCCTCTTTATTTTACATGGGTCAAAAGTAGGTTCAATACACCAAGGTGACATGGTCCTGTCTAACATTCAGTCCATGGGAACAAACATAGACTCTTTATTTTACATGGGTCAGAATTAGACAGAATACACCAAGGTTATATGGCCCTGTCTAACATTCAGTCCATGGGAACAAACATAACCTCTTTATTTTACATGGGTCAGAATTAGACAGAATACACCAAGGTTATATGGCCCTGTCTAACATTCAGTCCATGGGAACAAACATAGACTCTTTATTTTACATGGGTCAGAATTAGGTCCAATACACCAAGGTGACATGGTCCTGTCTAACATTCAGCCCATGGGAACAAACATGGACTCTTTATTTTACATGGGTCAGAATTAGACAGAATATACCAAGGTTATATGGCCCTGTCTAACATTCAGTCCATGGGAACAAACATAGACTCTTTATTTTACATGGGTCAGAATTAGGTCCAATACACCAAGGTTATATGGTCCTGTCTAACATTCAGTCCATGGGAACAAACATAGACTCTTTATTTTACATGGGTCAGAATTAGACAGAATACACCAAGGTTATATGGCCCTGTCTAACATTCAGTCCATGGGAACAAACATAACCTCTTTATTTTACATGGGTCAGAATTAGACAGAATACACCAAGGTTATATGGCCCTGTCTAACATTCAGTCCATGGGAACAAACATAGACTCTTTATTTTACATGGGTCAGAATTAGGTCCAATACACCAAGGTGACATGGTCCTGTCTAACATTCAGCCCATGGGAACAAACATGGACTCTTTATTTTACATGGGTCAGAATTAGACAGAATACACCAAGGTTATATGGCCCTGTCTAACATTCAGTCCATGGGAACAAACATAGACTCTTTATTTTACATGGGTCAGAATTAGGTCCAATACACCAAGGTTATATGGTCCTGTCTAACATTCAGTCCATGCGAAAAAACATAGACTCTTTATTTTACATGGGTCAGAATTAGACAGAATACACCAAGGTTATATGGTCCTGTCTAACATTCAGCCTATGGAGACAAACATAGACTCTTTATTTTACATGGGTCAGAATTAGACCCAATAAACCAAGGTTATATGGCCCTGTCTAACATTCAGCCTATGGAGACAAACACAGACTCTTTATTTTACATGGGTCAGAATTAGGTCCAATACACCAAGGTGACATGATCCTGTCTAACATTCAGTCCATGGGAACAAACATAGACTCTTTATTTTACATGGGTCAGAATTAGGTCCAATACACCAAGGTGACATGGTCCTGTCTAACATTCAGTCCATGGGAACAAACATAGCCTCTTTATTTTACATGGGTCAGAATTAGGTCCAATACACCAAGGTGACATGGTCCTGTCTAACATTCAGTCCATGGGAACAAACATAGCCTCTTTATTTTACATGGGTCAGAATTAGGTCCAATACACCAAGGTGACATGATCCTGTCTAACATTCAGTCCATGGGAACAAACATAGACTCTTTATTTTACATCAGTCAGAAGTAGGTTCAATACACCAAGGTGACATGGTCCTGTCTAACATTCAGTCCATGGGAACAAACATAGACTCTTTATTTTACATGGGTCAGAATTAGACAGAATACACCAAGGTGACATAGTCCTGTCTAACATTCAGTCCATGGGAACAAAACATAGACTCTTTATTTTACATGGGTCAGAATTAGGTCCAATACACCAAGGTTACATGGTCCTGTCTAACATTCAGTCCATGGGAACAAACATAGACTCTTTATTTTACATGGGTCAGAATTATGTCTATTACAACAGGACATGGTCCTGTCAAACATTTAGCCTATGGAGACAAATATAAACTATTTTTTAGGTCCAATACATTGTAAGCTCTCTCCATGTAGAGTGGAGTTCAGTGCTTTATAAATACAACTATTATTTTTAGGACCAATTCACAAGGACATAGTCCTGTTTAACATTCAGCCCATGGGGACAAACATAGACTCTTTAGACCTAGGTGAAAATTTGAAAATTTCCGTCAAAGATTCGAGGAGATTGTGTTAATGACAGAGTTTTTGATGTATGATATGATAATATATATGATCGACTTCATTCAAACTAATAGGCTAATATCGCAGAGGTGGTATCGGAACGTAATGTGTAATGTGTAATGTAAACGGTAACCGTAATGAGAACGCTTTACTGCGCATGCCTCATTAGCGACATCCACCTTTTCCCGCGGAATATCGCAATTGTTGATTGAATCAGCGGATAAAGATACAAATATAAACTGATATAACTTGTTGGAGATGTCATTTGTAAACATTAAAAAAAATAAATGGTAAAGGTAGCCTAAACGCAATCACAAGTTGGTCGGAGTAGAATTAAACGATTGTAGGCTAAACATGGTAATTTGTACAGTTTCAAACTGTTTCAATTTAAACTTGACAATATCCGACTTAAAATAAATCCAACTGAAGCCAGCAAATAGAAGGCTACCACTCTATTTTTCTTTTTTTTAACTCATTTTTGACTCCTCACAATTTGGGTAGTTTTCGTTCAAAACTTTATTACTTTCCATTTTGTATATTTACTTGTTTAGTCAGAGCCTGTCAATATAAAAAAAAATCTACAATTTGGGTTTAATAAATAACCCAGCCTAATTTCCTAGAAAAATAACAATTTTCTCAGCAATAAGATTGAGTATATAATATAAAGGTTATAATATTAGATAATAGGCATAGTACAGGTGAGTATTTCAATTTTCTCAAGCTTCAGTATCATTATATAAGCTATTTCATTTTGTCTTTGACTAGATAGGATAATAACTTAATACTTATTATATTTATAAGAATTCAAAAACACGAGTTTAATATGAGAATTCGACAAGAGAAGATGACAATCGTGATCGTATTTAGACCGAAACATCTGCCATTTTTCTGAGTAGATTAGCTGTCAAGAAGGTATAGACGCAGATGTTTCATGTCGGGATCTGTATGAAGTACCTTGTGTTTTTGCTTCATCAATTTCCCCTCATCGTACACCGCACCTGTTATCTCACGTAGTCTATTCCTACCTTATTGCTTCACTGAAAGAGTTGTGTTCACGTTGCGATTAAGCTGCGTTTCCTTTAGTACAAAAACAAGGCATGTTATCTGTATACGGTGTCCGGTGTACGATATGAGATCTTCAGTACTATGGAGGTATAACGTCGCCATTACAAAATGCATTTGTCAATGCTGCAAAGTACAATTGTCGAATTGTAAAAATGCAAAATGTATAAGTTTTCTCCAAAATCTAATGAAATGCCACATGAATGCAGATAACATTATACACTTGGCATTTCACACTTTGCATTTAACACTTTGCATTTTACACTTTGCATTTTACACTTTGCATTTTACACTTTGCATTTAACACTTTGCATTTTACACTTTGCATTTAACACTTTGCATGATCAAGCCTTGCATAATAGACTTTACATAATCGAACGTATACCTTATATGGAATGATGACGTATTCAGTTTCATACGTTAAAAGACGGGGAAATATACGGAAATTTATAAATGTGCGTGAGCAATTAAGTCTATTATGCAAAGCTTCATAATGCAAAGTGTAAAATGTCATCTGCATTCGTGTGGCATTGGATTTTAGAGAATACGTATACATTTTGTATTTTTAAAAATCGACAATTGAACCTTGTAGCATTGACAAATGTACTTTGTAATGACGACATTGGTATTTTAAACCTGCAACACAATCGACAATTTTGGCAACTTTACATCTCCATACTATATAGTGGAAAATGAAAGATTCATACCACGACGTCCGGACACTTTACAGGCACGATGCAGTCAGGTGCGACCCAGTAATGAGGAAGTAAAATCGCTTTAATATCGATTACCGGGACACTTATTATTACACCCTATAATGTTTCACCTTGCAGGTACGAGTGAATATTTACATATGAATTGCTAAACTGAATGTGACACTTGTGCAACTGTGGAGTAGATTTGAATTTTAAACCCTAGTCATTATATAAAATCTGTGAAGAAATTGCATACATGTAGGTTTCATGTTTCAATTATGAAACTTGAGGTATGTCTTAAAACCTGAAAGCTGTGATGAGACGAGGTAGACTATGGTGACGGGATTTTTGGTTTTATATTTTCATCTAGGGAAAAGGCAACACTCACGGAATCCGACAAGGCCCAACTTCGAACCTGGATCAACACTACAAAACATCTAAAACGAATCTATAAAGCCACTATAGATGGTCTCTCGGCAGATGTATTTCATAAGAAATGTGACAATAAAGGAGCTACTGTAACAATCTGTTGGAATACTGATGGTTGTGTTTTTGGTGGATATACCGCAATAGATTGGAAGAGCACCAACACCATAGTCCAAGATACATCAGCGTTTATTTTCACCTTGTCTGAGGGAAATACTCAAAAGTTGAATCAAGGCATATATTCAGAAGGATTACAAATTGGCCAGTATCCTACGCAGGGACCATCGTTTGGAATTTTTACAGTTTTCATGGACCCTACCAGAAAAACCAATGAAATGTTTCGGTCTAATGGTTGTTTTAATCAACAATATATAGACGAAATCCACCAAACATATGGTTATGAATATGATTATGATTATGGTCATCATCAACATCTCGACCCAGCCACTGTTTGTAATAATAATTTTAACTATGATGAAGTCGAAGTTTATCAGTTAGTAGGTGAGTAACAACTTGCTTGGTAACAAATATAAACTAGAACTGTGAACAGCTCTGAGCGTGGCAAAGAGTCCCATGGATTTGGAACCTTTAAGACTCTCAGCTTTCAACTCCGGTGCTTTTAAGCCGACAATTTTTCAACATGAAATTAAAACTTTCGGGTATCTGATAAATAGATCAATTATATAATTACACTCCAGAAATGTCACATCAATATTCTCAATTTGTAAAAAATAACAAAACTAATTTATACCGCTTCTCAATTATTCAATTGATAAAACAAAACCCACACATAAATAATCAGATCTGTCACCCGTGATAGGAATTTGATCATATGACGACTTCTCTTATCAAATTTTGTCGACGAGTTGACTTCTGTAGACGAACGCTCCGATAAAATTTTGTCGACGAGTTGACTTTTGTAGACGAACTCTCCGATAAAATTTTGTCGACGAGTTGACTTCTGTAGACGAACTCTCCGATAAAATTTTGTCGACGAGTTGACTTCTGTAGACGAACTCTCCGATAAAATTTTGTCGACGAGTTGACTTCTGTAGACGAACTCTCCGATAAAATTTTTGTCGACGAGTTGACCTCTGTAGGCGAACTCTACCCTAAATTTTGTCGACGAGTTGACATGCTGACTGGTATTCGTGTACATGTATTAACATTTACTAAATTGACTTACAGAGAGGTCTCAAAATGCAAGAGAGTATATTATGTTAAATCCTCACTAACCTAGATGTGCCTTTTTTATAAGGAAGGATTTCCAAATTATGGTGAAAGAAAGTGTACTCTCCGATTTATATCGTCCGTTTATAAGAGATACTCTCCTGTAGAAATACTTGCATATTTCACAAGTATTACAAATTATTTTGTTATTTGAGTTCTAATTTTAATCTAAAGAAATTCCAATGGTTTGATAATTTGCGAATTCACAGCTTTCAATAGAAATATTTTTCAAATTTTTATGCAAAAATTTTATATAAAAATAAAATAGATTTTATTAGGGTTAAGGGATTACATAATCATATGTCATAATCTCTGACTATACTGATAACAATCTGTGTGTGTTGGACCATGACTAATGTGAGAGGTGAAAGTGTCAATTCAACAGTTTTATTATCACCCTTAACACATACCTGTTACCCTTCAAAAATAACGGAAAATTGTTTACGATGAATAACCTAATTTCTTGCGGAGATCAGAATATCATATTCATAATTTCTTGTAAAAAATGCGATTTACAATATGTTGGCGAGACTCAAAACGCGCTTCGAACGCGATTCAATGGCCATCGCTATGATATAGTGCATGGCAAGGATAGACCAATTGCGAATCACTTCAACCTTCCCTATCATTCCATTGATGACCTTCTCATCATGCCTATATAGAAACAGTTTCTACATCACCTAGTATCAAAGCTTAGACGTCTACAACGCGAAAGTTACTGGATCGATCAGCTACAGACTGTGATGCCAAATAGACTCAAAATGCAACACGATAACCAGATAATACCCTTTATAATTTGATTCTACAGCTACCAAAGCCTCCATAATAGTCAAACGCCATTACTCGGAACTTCAGAACAAATTTCCCCATGTATACACAAAACGTTTGGTTGTAGCTTACAAAAGAAATCAAAATCTTAACAATTTTTTTTACGGTAGAACAACACCATTGAACAATACCCGTTTATTCTAAAAGTAGATATTTCTTCATATAAATGTATCATGTTATATCAATATATTAATCGATTTCTAAGTTAGAGTTATTTCAGGACTGGGGCCATGGCTATATACAGTATATTATATATCAGAGTACGTGTATGTTTGTGTGTGTGTCATTTCAGCTAAAATCATACTAATGACTAACTAATTTTCACATAATCAATAGACTTATCTATTGCTCTGTGATCTAGGCCAGTGCTTTCATTGAGACTCGTCTCCATACACTCTACTGTCAGTCAAATCAATCCATCATTTGATAAAATATTGGATTTGTTTTTTGTAAATTGGAAATTGTATTCAGCCATTCATGTCACTTATTCATTCATATTGTTGGAAAGATAACCAATCCAACATTAAGAATCTGAAAAATCAAGCCCCTATATTTATTAAGGAATGTGGTACAGCCGTCCAAAGTTGCAACAATGTCAGTTTTCGATGTCTATAAACCGGGAGTTGATGTTTTTCTTCCAATATCAGGATATCTATAGAAAGCTGAGGTTAAGGACAATCTACACTAATAATTTAAGGTCATTGAAGGTCAAGGTCACAAGATACAGACTTTTAAATTTTCAAAAATTTCAAACGGGCATAAAAAAAATTCGAAATTCAAAACGCTGATCTCGACAAGTGTTAGATAACAAGGTTTTGATACACACCAAAATCATACAAATCAGATAATGGCAAACTTATTAGAATTTTAACGAAAATGCGCCTCTCTCTGGTAATGGCGCATGAGTCACTTCCGGTTTTATTTTCTTCTTCTAAGGTGATTCAAATTAATATAATCTGTACGGTTTTTACGCGTAATTATAAACATAAAAAATTCGATCAAAGTCGGATCAAAATTAGAGATGTAAATTAGAAAAAAAACGTAAAAAATGGATTTTATCCAACGTCATTTCCGGTTGCAAAAAAATGCGTGAAAATACATTCATTTAAATTAGTTTCGCGGTTTTTGCGGAGAGAATTATAACAGTTTATATGTTGCATTAACAGTTTTGCCTGGGCGCTCTGGGAAGAATTCGAAAAAAACAACAACAAACATTCATAGAACGCACTGCAACTAGAACCGTGGACGGTACCCATGCGTATCCGACCTGATGCATTGGTGAAACGTTGCATTTTAAAGTCATGGTGACATTTTGTACCGAAAAATAGAGCATGTCAAAATTCGGTAGTAAAAAGTCGGTAAACCATCTAACGTTCGGTAGTGCAAAGACGAAAGAATTCGGTAGTAAATGGAAAAAACAGTAGGTAGTAAAAAGTCGATTATAAAATAGCTGTAAAACCGATAGTACTCATTATCAGACAACTGTGACTTTATTAGAAACTCGACAAAGTAGTGCTCTATTTTGAGGCAAAGTTTAAAGGTTGACAAATGCATACTTTGCGAGTTATAAAAAAAATAAATTACATTAGGTAAATAGTAAATATGAATCTAACCCGAATGTGCCACGCCCACCCCAAAATTTTGTTATGTTTGCTATCATGTGTACAATGTTATATTATGTTTCTACAATCATTAGATCATGAGATATACGTAAGAAGTCTATACGGCAAAAACCAAATTACGCACTGTAACTATAGAATTCGTGCAAAATTTTCAAATTTTCAAAAACACTATTTATCAAAATATCAAGTGTGATATACCATCAGAAAGGAGTGATCGCTCACATAGAGGATACAAAATTTTGTCATACGCTAATTAGGTCATGTGACAGAGCTATTTAAAGATAAGAATCGCGATTTTCAAATGGCTCTAGAACCGGAAGTTAACATTGTGAATATACTTTTGGACAGATCAGGGGCAACAACCTTAGTTCAGTTATCAAAGGTGAAGGTCACGAGATATGAGCTGTGACACTTTTGGCAATTACTGAATACATATAACCGGAAATTGAAAAAAAAACACAGCCAAAATTCAAAATTCCGCTTCCACACTTTTTTTTGCAATCGATTGCAGATTCTTTAGACACCTTGCTCTTGAAAACGCTTTCAATTTTAGCTTGTAAAAACTCTAGAAGGTTCAATTGTTGACAGACTGTGACGAAACTTAATGTGAATGTTCGTTATCACCCAAGGATGATCCCTATCAAAATCAGAAAAAAAAAATATTTAGTATGAGTTATTGTCCTTGTTCTTGAAAACGCGTTCAATTTTTAGCTCGCATGGACTGGTTGAACCAAGTCCACGGATCCCAACTCATCTAATTGAACCACTGATAAAATAAAAGGTCTTCGGTGGTAAGAACGGGTCAATGAAGAAAACATGGTTCTTCGGTCAGTCGGTCCGCCCACAATTGCTCGTAAACACTCTAGAAGGCACAATTCTTGTCGGATTTAGATGAAACTTGGTGTGAGTGTTTGTAGTCACCCATTGAAAAAAATTGAAAAAGAAAATGTATGAGTTATTGACCTCGTTTTAATAAAAACATTCACTTTTTAGCTCGTAAACATTCTAGAGGGAACGAATCTTGCCTGAATTGGTCAAAACTTGGTAAAATTATTCAGTATCGCCCTGAAAAGTTCAAAAGAAGTGTATGACTGAAGGTTGAATATTTCATACTGGTAATTGTTACTGTACTGACAAATTTTTCTATTCAAAATCAAACCTGCTAGTGGACATATATTACCTTGCCTGGCAAGCTATTTTTGTTAACAGGCCACAATCAAGAAAACTGTAGAAGATTATAAACCAATACAAGGAGCCGAGGTTGACCAATGTAGAATTCTAATGGTTGGATGTGTAGGCGCCGGTAAATCAAGTTATTTCAATACCATCAATTCTGTATTCAGAGGTCACGTGACCAGTCAAGCTGCTGCCGGAAGTGCTGAACATAGTTTCACCACCAAGGTTAGTAATTAGATATTTGGATAGATGGAATGAGACGATGAATGGAATGATAATAGAAGTATACTATGGGAATAATTGATAAGACATGACCAGACGACCAAGGACAGACCAAGGAGAGGACCAAGAACCGGACAAGAACAGGACAGGACAAGGACTAGACGACCTACTAGAGGACGGGGCAGGACAAGACGAGAACAGGACCAGTAAAAGGACCAAGACAGGACAGGACAAGGACCGGACCCAAGATAGAATAATGACCATGAACAGGAAAAGGATCAAGGACAGGAAAAGAAAGTACATCATATAAAAAGGTTTTGTTTTTACAGTTTAGAAGTTATCAAATAAGAAATGGGTCGCAATATTTGAAAGTAAGATTATGTGATACACGAGGTCTGGAGGAGTCCCAAGGAGTAGATCCTGAAGATATTACTGCTATGTTAGATGGACACATGCCGAATAAATATTCAGTAGGTTATTTATCTGTATAGTCATCTAAATATTTACTTTACCAGCTGATAGAGCTCAATTTCAGCTATCTATATAGTCATCTAAATATTTACTTTACCAGCTGATAGAGCTCAATTTCAGCCATCTGTATAGTCATCTAAATATTTACTTTACCAGCTGATAGAACTCAATTTCAGCTATCTGTATAGTCATCTAAATATTTACTTTACCAGCTGATAGAACTCAATTTCAGCTATCTGTATAGTCATCTAAATATTTACTTTACCAGCTGATAGAGCTCAATTTCAGCCATCTGTATAGTCATCTAAATATTTACTTTACCAGCTGATAGAACTCAATTTCAGCTATCTGTATAGTGATCTAAATATTTACCTTACCAGCTGATAGAGCTCAATTTCCGCTATCTGTATAGTTATCTAAATATTTACTTTACCAGCTGATAGAACTCAATTTCAGCTGTCTATATAGTTATCTAAATATTTACTTTACCAGCTGACAGAGCTCAATTTCAGCTGTCTATATAGTTATCTAAATATTTACTTTACCAGCTGATAGAGCTCAATTTCAGCTATCTATATAGTTATCTAAATATTTACTTTACCAGCTGATAGAGCTCAATTTCAGCTATCTGTATAGTCATCTAAATATTTACTTTACCAGCTGATAGAACTCAATTTCAGCTATCTCTATAGTCACCTAGTTATTTACTTTACCAACTGATAGAGCTCAATTTCAGCTATTTGTATAGTCGTCTAAATATTTACTTTACCAGCTGATAGAACTCAATTTCAGCTATCTGTATAGTCGTCTAAATATTTACTTTACCAGCTGATAGAACTCAATTTTAGCTATCTGTATAGTCATCTAAATATTTACTTTACCAGCTGATAGAACTCAATTTTAGCTATCTGTATAGTCATCTAAATATTTACATTACCAGCTGATAGAACTCAGTTACAACTTTCCACAACACTTCAAAGTTGAAACCCGGAATGAACATACTGGCAGATGTGACGATATAACTGGTCATGGTATAAACATGGTCATAATATCAATAAGATATGCAAATGAAGTGTTCACATCGTCGTCGTCGTCACTTCCGCTTTTCAAATTGATCAGTGTCCCCTCTTTACATTCCCTATAAAGTCTCCTATATTATTTTCAGTTTAACCCTTTTGCTGCGATCACACCAGAAACTCCGGGATATATAAAAACACCGAGTTTAAATGATAAAATACATTGTCTAGCGTTTATTATTGATGGAACTTCAGTCAACGTTATGAATGCATCTATTTTAACTCAGTTTAAAATGATACAGAAATTAGCCAATCAGAGAGGTAGGTTCGTGTTATTTTCTTTTTTAGTCAGGATTATTTCGTTCAGTATTTTACATTTGTTGAGCCATTTGATTTAACCTATATATTGAAATAATTTAAGATTTAAAAGAAATAGTAAAATAGTTTTATTGCTATTTTGTGATTTATCTATTATATTTTAGGAATACCTCAAGTCATAATTTTAACAAAAGTTGACGAGATTTCTCAAGAAGTGAAAGAAAATTTGTCTAATTTATTTTATTCTCGTGACGTTGCCAAGGTGGTGGATAAAGTTTCCCAATTAATAGGGCTACCAAGAGGCCATGTTTTACCAGTTAAAAATTACGAGAAGGAAACAGAATTAAACGAAACGGTGGATAGATACGCTCTACTTTCACTTCAACAAATGTTACGATTTGCTGACGATTGTTTGTGTGATGTATTAGACGATTAATCTCCCTTGGCTTTAAGTTATTTTGCTGATATTGATATAGCTTAATATAGTTTAGCTTGAGTATATATAGCTCAATAAATATTAGCTTGAGTATATATAGGTCAATAAACATTAGCTTTAGTATATATAGGTCAATAAACATTAGCTTTAGTATATATAGGTCAATAAACATTAGCTTTAGTATATATAGGTCAATAAATATTAGCTTGAGTATATATAGGTCAATATAGTTTAGCTTGAGTATATATAGGTCAATATAGTTTAGCTTGAGTATATATAGGTCAATATAGTTTAGCTTGAGTATATATAGGTCAATATAGTTTAGCTTGAGTATATATCGGTCACTATAGTTTAGCTTGAGTATATATAGGTCAATATAGTTTAGCTTGAGTATATATAGGTCAATAAACATTAGCTTTAGTATATATAGGTCAATAAACATTAGCTTTAGTATATATAGGTAAATAAATATTAGCTTGAGTATATATAGGTCAATATAGTTTAGCTTGAGTATATATAGGTCAATAAATATTAGCTTTAGTATATATAGGTCAATAAATATTAGCTTGAGTATATATAGGTCAATAAATATTAGCTTTAGTATATATAGGTCAATATAGTTTAGCTTGAGTATATATAGGTCAATAAACATTAGCTTTAGTATATATAGGTCAATTAACATTAGCTTGAGTATATATAGGTCAATAAACATTAGCTTTAGTATATATAGGTCAATAAATATTAGCTTGAGTATATATAGGTCAATATAGTTTAGCTTGAGTATATATAGGTCAATAAACATTAGCTTGAGTATATATAGGTCAATATAGTTTAGCTTTAGTATATATAGGTCAATAAACATTAGCTTGAGTATATATAGGTCAATATAGTTTAGCTTGAGTATATATAGGTCAATAAATATTAGCTTTAGTATATATAGGTCAATAAACATTAGCTTTAGTATATATAGGTCAATAAATATTAGCTTTAGTATATATAGGTCAATAAACATTAGCTTTAGTATATATAGGTCAATTAACATTAGCTTGAGTATATATAGGTCAATAAACATTAGCTTTAGTATATATAGGTCAATAAATATTAGCTTGAGTATATATAGGTCAATATAGTTTAGCTTGAGTATATATAGGTCAATAAACATTAGCTTGAGTATATATAGGTCAATATAGTTTAGCTTTAGTATATATAGGTCAATAAACATTAGCTTGAGTATATATAGGTCAATATAGTTTAGCTTGAGTATATATAGGTCAATAAATATTAGCTTTAGTATATATAGGTCAATAAACATTAGCTTGAGTATATATAGGTCAATAAATATTAGCTTTAGTATATATAGGTCAATAAATATTAGCTTTAGTATATATAGGTCAATAAACATTAGCTTTAGTATATTTAGCTTAATAAATAGTAGCTCTAGTAAATAGCTCAATAGCTTCTCTTTTGACATTTTATTTTGATTTTATCCATGCAGGTTATGGTGCCGTTAAGTTTTTCTTTTTGAATATTAACTAAAACACTTTCATTATAATGATAATTTCTATGGTAATACTATTGTTTGAACAGCCCCCATCTTCACAATGGTCAACATCTTATACCTTAACTTAATGACCCACGTTTTTGTGACAAGGTCAACGATTTAATTAGATTGTACGCCACTGAATACAGCCAATCAGAGCCCTCGATATCATCTTTCTGTCAATGACTCCGATCAAGTTTTTTTTTTGCAAACTTCAAAAATTACATTGACATCTCTAAGATAAAGACGAAATACCTTGACCATGGTGATGATGTCTCACCCCTCTCTTCTCCTCTCCTCTCCTCCCCTCATCTCTCATCTCCTCTCCTTTCATCTCTCCCTCATCTCTCATCTCCTCTCCTTTCATCTCTCCTCTCCTCTCCTCATCTCTCATCTCCTCTCCTTTCATCTCTCCCTTATCTCTCATCTCCTCTCCTTTCATCTCTCCTCTCCTCCCCTCATCTCTCATCTCCTCTCCTTTCATCTCTCCCTCATCTCTCATCTCCTCTCCTTTCATCTCTCATCTCCTCTCCTTTCATCTCTCCCTTATCTTCGAATAAATCCTTTAAAATCTACTTTTAACCTTTTTAGATCCCATATTGTACCCTTTTTATTTAACAATGTTTGTTGACAACGTTTGTTGACAATGTTCGTTTACAGTGTTTGTTGACAATGTTTGTTTACATTATTTGTTTGCAATGTTTGTTTGCAATGTTTGTTTACAATGTTCGTTGACAATGTTTGTTTACAATTTTATTTTTCAATAGATGTTGGCAATGTTTGTTGACAATGTTTGTTGACATTGTTTGTTGACAATGTTTGTATACAATGTTTGTTGACAATATTTGTTTACACTGTTTGTTGTCCTCACACTGCCTGTTTTCACGACTGGATGGATTTCCATACTAATATAATAACTTTTAATATTTTCGTGTATTTCTTTATATTTTTTCTTTGATGCAAAATGGTAATTTGAAATCTGCACATAAATAATTATAATCATCAATAAAACTATCATAGAATTGTTGTTGATTGACAAGCCTTCAATATTGTTACCATGGTATCACCATGTCCAAACCACACCCCTTTTCGTTATACCATCTCTAGGACTATGTAAAAAAAAGATACCATGTTCAGGATATGATTGTCATGGTATCAGAATAGTAGTTGATCATTATTTAATATCAGGGAAGTTATGGGGGCGTGGTTTAGATATGATGTATTGCTACAAGAGTTCTAAGAGATGGTACTGACATTCTTGACAAGGAGAACTTTCTCATGTGGACTTTATCCTCTGATAGTTATTTTACTCTGTTAGCCTTTCAGGTCGTCTGCTGCTCTAAATTGGAGAGGCAACGACAATCTTAGCCGAATCACATCTCCCCTAAACGCATATAGTGATGTAATTACCTTAAATTACACTCTTATTTAATTGTATACAAACCATAAGTTGGCTTTTTACTCTGAAAAGTGTTATGAGTAGTTTTCATTCAATACCACCGAGATAGCGAATAATTCATTTTGATATACCAGCTAAAGATACGTTCGTTTTGTATCGTGAAACTTTTCCTTTCAGCGAGGAGAATTTCAATGAAGGAGAAATAGCAACAGTGATTTTGACTGGATCGTTAACTGAACAGAGATGTAGAGAAAAAGCCAGAAGTTTGAGTGAAAGGAGGGTAAACAGTGATATTTTAGACACCATGGATGAAAGGGAGCCGAGCAACCCTCTTTGTAATTGTAGAGACCTCCTTTGTTTTTTAATTACATCCATTCTAATCGTAATCCTCGCTAAATTAATGTTGGTTTTGTTTGCTAAAAACTACCTGACATTAAACTGGCCTTTGTTTTAATGTTGATGATTTGTCTGTAATCTGTATTCGATGGCTGAGTTTTTGTAAATCTGGCTTAAATCTCTCAATATTACAACAAAGATAAAATACATATTTTCATAAAGATTGTAAGGTTGGTGCCTCTAGGGGGTCGGGGTTTCATCAAAACACGGGTTCTAGATAACACACTTGGTTTGTTTAAAAAAAATAACGTCATTAGAACGGGACAGTGGTAGAAAACATGTTAGATTACAATGGGGTCGATAATTATCAGATATACAGAAGAATTTGTAAAATTAATCTCATTATGCTTGTATACCTACCAATCTTCTGTACGTAGAATAGTCCCAAGGGAAATAAGAGAGGCTATAGAACTTGGTAAAGTTAGGATGACGCTGGTGATACACTCGTCTACTGGATAGGTTATCTCACAGCACAGTTCATAAAATATCGGAGATGTGGCACCGTTTAATAAACTCGCTAATACATTGGAGGCAAACAGACTTTCTGAAATATAAAACAAAGCTCGCTCTTAATCCCGTTCCATAGCTACAGGGAGACAAGGCCACGTAACTCAGCCAGAATTGTCCTTTTTGAACATTAATTTGCAAATTGAAAACCTTCAGAAAGTATATTAAAATACCTACATGTATTAAATGTTAAAATATCGAGTAGAGTCAAAACCAACCATAAATACATTACAGTGGTAGAGATAAACAGAAATATCAAAAACAATTTCCTTTTCCTTTTATAAATATCAGCAAATCTGGAAATAAAAGGAAGTTTAACTTACTATTCTAGACGATATTTAGGATTATATTGTCTGCTTGAAGAAGTTTTTTACGTCACTCTTTCTTAGAATGATATAATACCCCTCGCCTACCCCCAACACCATTCTTACCTAACAGTATACTTAAACCAACAGCAAAATTCCAAAGCAAAGTTCACGGTAGCTCTATTATTAGTAGCCAATCAAAACATCGATAGAAATCTGCACGTGCCTTTCAGGTCATGAAATTCAGCGTTAATACATATCAATTGATAATTGTTCATTCAAGTTGTATGGGGCGCTAACGGGGCGATTTTACAAACTTTCAAATTATTTTCTTTCAAATCTATAAAATTATCAACTGTATTTAATTCTCGAAAAAATATGTTGTATAAGTCAGTTATGTACATGGTTTCCTCGGTATAAAGGCTGCTACTCGGCTTGGCCTCGGAGCCTCACTCCAAAAAGAGTAGGTGTATCAGCCCATACACCTCGAAAACCATGTATATAACTACTACATAATCATACATTCGAGATCAATGTGACTCCATGACATGATAGTTAAGATCCATGGTGGCTCACTGCTATCATGTTACAATCTGCTAGCTAGTTGGACATGATAGTTTAGATCAATGGTGGCTCACTGCTATGGTGTTACATTCTACTAGCTAGTTGGACATGATAATTTAAATCAGTTGTGGCTCACTGCTATCATGTTACAATCTGCTAGCTAGTTTGGCGTGATAGTTTAGATCAATGGTGGCTCACTGATATCGTGTTACATTCTACTAGCTAGTTGGACATGATAGTTTAAATCAATGGTGGCTCACTGCTATCGTGTTACAATCTGCTAGCTAGTTGGTCACGATAGTTTAGATCAATGGTGGCTCACTGCTATCATGTTACAATCTGCTAGCTAGTTGGACACGATAGTTTAGATCAATGGTGGCTCACTGCTTTCATGTTACAATCTGCTAGCTAGTTGGACATGATAGTTTAGATCAATGGTGTTTCACTGCTATCATGTTACAATCTACTAGCTAGTTTGAAACTATGGTTTAGATCAATGGTGGCTCACTGCTATCATGTTACAATCTACTAGCTAGTTTGACACTATAGTTTAGATCAATGGTGTTTCACTGCTATCATGTTACAATCTACTAGCTATTTTGACACAATAGTTTAGATCAATGGTGGCTCACTGCTATCGTGTTACAATCTGCTAGCTAGTTTGACACTATAGTTTAGATCAATGATGTTTCACTGCTATCGTGTTACAATCTGCTAGCTAGTTGGACACTATAGTTTAGATCAATGATGTTTCACTGCTATCATGTTACAATCTGCTAGCTAGTTTGACACTATAGTTTAGATCAATGATGTTTCACTGCTATCATGTTACAATCTACTATCTAGTTGGACACGGTAGTTCAAATCAATGATGTTTCACTGCTATCATGTTACAATCTGCTAGCTAGTTGGACACTATGGTTTAGATCAATGATCTTTCACTGCTATCATGTTACAATCTACTATCTAGTTTGACACTATAGTTTAGATCAATGGTGGCTCACTGCTATCATGTTACAATCTGCTAGCTAGTTTGACACTATAGTTTAGATCAATGGTGGCTCACTGCTATCATGTTACAATCTGCTAGCTAGTTTGACACTATAGTTTAGATCAATGGTGGCTCACTGCTATCATGTTACAATCTGCTAGCTAGTTGGACACTATAGTTTAGATCAATGGTGGCTCACTGCTATCATGTTACAATCTGCTAGCTAGTTTGACACTATAGTTTAGATCAATGTTGGCTCACTGCTATCATGTTACAATCTGCTAGCTAGTTTGACACTATAGTTTAGATCAATGGTGGCTCACTGCTATTATGTTACAATCTACTAGCTAGTTTGACACTATGGTTAAGATCAATGGTGGCTCACTGCTATCATGTT